GGCCAATGCCAGATGTCAGTAGTCCCATACTACTGATGTGAATAGGTTCTAGCCAGTGTAAGTAAGGCTTAGCTAACAGTGATTAAAAGAAGAAAGCCCAGGGAAGATGATCAAATGGAAAAAAATGTTATGTTCAAGTCTGGAGGTGGGCAAGAGAAAATTTTTCCCACTGGAAGAGAACTTTACCCTGACTTGCCCATCTCCCCCGTCCTTTGAGAAGAGGGTTGGAAAATCCAACATTTTTTTGTTCTGTTCTGTTACTCTTATCTCTATCTCTGATCCAGAAGTGCTAAGGAGGTATTTGCAGGAACACCATTTTGGGCAGGGAGGGGGCACGCCTGAAGTTTAAACCCCTGAATTTCATACTTGAAGTATGCTTAAAGCATATGCCCCAGCCCCAGTTGTTCCTCTTAACTGCAACAGAACTTGTGCTGCTTGCTCCCAGCCTTGCCTTTGGGGTAGGGAGTTTGTTTATAAACAGAGAGAGGCAGGGTCAGTGAGAGAGTCCCCAGTGGTGGGGCCAGCAGCCAGTGTGCTCTGGCCCCTTCTCCTGAGGAGCACCCTGCCACTTGTGGGGCAAGGTAGAAGCTGGTACGTGAGGGGACCCAGTTTAAAAACCAGCTTCCCTTGCAGACTGGCTGCCTGTCGCTCTGCGCTGCTGCCTCTGATACAGAGGCAGCAGCTCCTGTCCAGGGTGGGCTCCCAGACCTGGAGCAAGCCAGAACTGAGCCAAGCTGCCTGCCCATCTGGGTCCTAATACACTTTAGATGCAGAACCACAGCAGGGGTAGATCCCAGATCCAGCACAAACCAGCACTGAGCTGGGCTTCTGACCAGCTTGCTAAAAAATTTACTGGTTGGGTGGGAGGGTGCATGTAGTCTATAGCATGAACCTATACGCTTTTGCTTATCGGTTAATTGCTTAATTGATTGTACTATTACATTCCTACCCCAAATCCTCACTGACATGGCCCCCGACTGAGAAGGAGAAAGACACATCCCACATTCCCTTTGCATACCAAAGCTGGGGGGGCGAAGGCTAATAGCTTTTGTGCTCTCCAGCCCCACAGGGAGGTGGCAGCAGGGCTGGAGTGCCAGCACAGGGAGCCTGAGCCTCGGGGGCCGGATCCAGGCAAGGGGCTGCATCTGGCCCCCAGGCTTTAGGTTCCCCACCCCTGCATTAGATGAACATTGCCAAGTACCAGCCCTCCCCCCACTCAAAACTTACCCAGCCCTTATGTGAGTTGGGGGTTTGGCTCCCTGCTCTCCTAAGGGTAGAAGGAGTGGCCCTCCCACTCCCCAGGCAGTCCTTAGTGTGGCATGGTGCTCCAGTGACAATTCAGAAAGACCCAGGGCTCTGGCTGCTGTTGCTCCTGAGGTAGCAGCGGTGGGGGTCCAGGAGCCCTGGGCCCTTTTGAATCACCAGACCCTGGGGCAACTGCCTCCATTGCACACCACCCTGTTGGTGAGCCTGCCAGGTACTCCACTTAAAAGATAGGAAACAAAGGGTAAGAATAAAGAGTGGTATCCCTCGGAGGTCTGTATGGGGACCAGTGCTGCTCATTCATTTGTAAGTGATCTTGAAAAAGGGATGAACAGTGAGTGGACAAAATTTGCAGATGATACAAATCTACTAAAAAATAATTAAGTCCAAAGCTGACTGCAAAGGGATCTCACAAAACTGGGCCATTGCGCAACACAATGGTAGATGGAATTCAGTGTTGATAAATGCAAAGTAACGCACACGAAGACAAATAATCCTAACTACACACACACAATGCTGGGGTCTAAATTAGCTGTTACCACTCAAGAAAGAGATCTTGGAATCATTGTGGATAGTTCCTTGAAAACATCTGTTCAATGTGCAGTGGCCCTCTAAAAAGCAAACCTCAAATTGAGAATCATTAGGAAAGGAACAGATAGGAAGACAAAAATATCATATGATCTCTCATGATATGCACATATCTTGAATACTGCATGCAGATCTGGTCGCCTTATCTAAATAAAAGATAGACACTTGAAACTCCATACTCGGTGTGTCCTTAATTTGAGAACCCCCGTGGTATGGACCTCGGCAGAGGGAGGAGGAAGTGACTCTGCATGCTGCCACAGCTCCCCTCTGCCCTTTACTCCCCTAGCTGGGGAAAAGGTAGGACAGCGAAGTGCTTAGCCGGAGGAGGCTTTTTCCAGGGAGTGGGAGGGTGTGGTGGTGGAACCACATGTAACTCAGGTAAATACCCCACCCCCTTTACTTTCACACACCCTCCCTCCTTCCCAGACCCTGTCCAATGTCCTCCATGGTCCACAAAATTTCCTTAATCCAACATACTCTGTTTCCCGGGGCTGCTAGATTAGAGGTTCAAGTGTACTGGATTTGAAAAAAGTTGAGGCAACAGAAATGATCTGAGGGAAGGAACAGCTTCCATACACTGTAAAGAGAGATTAAAAAGGCTGGGCCTTTTCAGCTTGGGAAAGGAAATCACTAAAGGGTGGGGGGGATATATTAGAGGTCTAGAAAATCATGAATAGTGTGGGAAAATTGAATAAGGAAATGTTAATGACTCCTTTGCTAACATAACACAAGAAGGTCACCCAATTACATTTATAGGCAGGAGACTGAAACAAAGGAAATTATTTCTTCATGGTTAGCCTGTGGAACTCCTTGTAAGGGAATGGTGAAAAATCCCAAACTGTAACAGGGTTCCAATAAGAACAAAATAAATTCAAAGGCTGTGTCTAGACTGGCAAGTTTTTCTGCAAAATCATGTGATTTTTGGCGGAAAAACTTGCCAGCTGTCTACACTGGCTGCTTGAATTTCCGCAAGAACACTGACGATCTCATGTAAGATCGCCAGTGTTCTTGCGGAAATACTATGCTGCTCCCGTTCGGGCAAAAGTCTTTTTCCGAAAGACTTTTGCCCAAAAGGGCCAGTGTAGACAGCTGACATTTGTTTTCTGCAAAAAAGCCCTGATCGCAAAAAGGGCGATCGGGGCTTTTTTGCGGAAAACCGCATCTAGATTGGCCACGGACGCTTTTCCGCAAAAAGTGCTTTGGCAGGATGCTTTTCCACAAATCTAGACGTGCTTTTCCGAAAATGCTTTTAACGGAAAACTTTTCAGTTAAAACCATTTTCGGAAAATCATGCCAGTGTAGACGTAGCCAAAGAGTTTAGATCCATCAATGATTTCTAGCTAGTATGGGCAGAAATGGTGTCCCTAACCTCTGTTTGCCAGAAGCTGGGACTGAGTGACAGAGGATGGATCACTTGCCTCTTCTGTTCATTCTTTCTGATGTATGTGGCATTGGCCACTGTTGAAAGACAGGGTACAGGGCTAGATAGACCATTGGTCTGATTCAGTATGGCCATTCTGATGCTCTCATAGAGAACCCAGTTGTATCTGCCCCCTAATCCCCTCCTAGACCCCCCCACTCCGCAGTGGTAGGAGTCCTGTGAGAGCAGTGATAGGAGTCCTGACAGTGTCTCTCCCTCTCTGCAGAGTTAGTAATAAAGTAAGAATATAAATTAACATTTTAAGCCTAACCAGTATCCCTTTAGTGTCTTGCCACAAGATGTCAGAACATGTTGTTAGTGTTAGAGCTGAGTGGATCTAATATTTATTTAAATTTTTCTCTTGTATAAGAATTAGATTCAGTGCCCCTGTCAGCTAACTGCTAGATTATTTGCCAGAAAAACATGAGTTTTCAGGTGCCTAAGTAGGCCCTGGAAAGAAGTGATGTGTAGGGGGAGGACGGTGAACAAAAACGGTGCCCCCTTCCCCGATTTGCAGCTTGGCTTGCACTGAACATGCTCAGCAAAAATGCTGAAGCCGTTGCCTGCCCCCCTCATCCACTCTATCATGGCATGCACAGGTTGTGTTCCTCTCCCCCCCACCCCCATTTGAAATGGCACCCTTGGGTATTTGGTAGAGCGAAGTGTATGGATGAGTTGCCCTCACATGAGTTGCCCTCATGACATACTTTGCTCAAATGGAGGCAAATCGTGAAGTGATTTTTTTTTTTTTAAACATTAGATATGGGTAAGTTTAAGGCTTAACATAACAATTTTGCATTGGTAAACAGGCTGTTCCTGTGATGCTGTCTCAGAAGATTTAACACTACATTGCACCTTTAGTCTAGGTCAGGATAGAAATCCAGGTGAACTGCTCTAGGAGGGCCCCTGGGCAGGAAGTTTAGTCACAGTTCCCTTCCTGCTTCCCTTTGCTTGGGGAGGAGAAAGTAACCTAGCTACAGCCCCTTATATGGTGCAGTTCACTTAATCTCTTCTCTTCAACATGGCAGCTGCCATGAAGCAGAGGCTGGACAGAATCAAAGCTCTACCCTGTTCATCCTTTCTTTCCCCACCTGCTGAGGAGGAATGAGCGTACCAGGCAAGCAGACTCTGCTTTCCCACTTACAGCCTTGTTGAGGTGATGAAGTAAGGAGTGGGCTTGCTCCCAATCTAGCCTTTAGTCAGTGTAATCTAAACCTAGTTCGCTTGTGTGTGTAATCTAAACCTAGTTCGCTGGTGTGTGTGTAAAACCAGGCTCAGCTGTCACCTCTTGGGGAATTCTCTCTTTGTAAACATGGACTGGTTTACTAGAAGGCAGGCCCATGTTTTAGTTGATAAATGACTGAGTGAGATTCATTGCCAGCTAGCTGCATACACTCCTAGTGAAGCCAGTAGAGTGTCAAACTGGTGCTGAATGTGACCCTGTAATTCTATGTGTCGAGCCCCTGAGATACCTTTGGAGGAAAAGCAGAGCTGAGCGATTTGGGGGAGAGGGTTTGAACAATTGACTTGATGCGCCACAGATCACAAACTCCTTGTGAGATGAAGCCAAGGAAGAGGCAAAAATTCAGGAAGCAGTTAAAGGGCTGCAGAGCTGATTATAGTTGCAAAATGTGCTGACCAATGGAAACTAGCAGTTTGGTAATGAGTTTGCAAATGTATCAAACTCTTACACTGACACATGCACAATTTTATCTCTTCCTTTGCCTAGACCCTGTCTGCCCTTTCCCAGAACTAACAGTGGCAGCACAGTTTACAGTGGTGGATACAATAGACAAAGAGGTTAGTATCTGAAGTCTCAAAAAATAGTAGAAGAGGGTTTTGGGGTTGTTTGTTTTTGTGGCTATTGCTCTAATTCACCTCTCTGTGAGGTGACTTAGTGCACTTCCACCATGGGTTCATAACTACTTTAATTGACCACTTCAAAGTACATGTAGAGACATTAACAAATTAATTTGACAGTGTCAAGCAAAATGCCAATACTATTTTCTTTCAAAGTTCTGAATTATTTGAGCCGAAGAAAGAACCTTCAAGGTTGACAAAGTTGAGACTAACTTTTTGCTCTTTACCTGTTATCTGTGACTGGGATCTGCCTCTCGTGGTATGTATATTTTGGAGAGAACTGTGTGATGACCTTTAGTTTGGGGATGAGTATGTAGGATTGGGGTGGTGGTCTTTGAACACTCTAAAATAAAGGCTGTCCCAGCCTACAGAATTTGAGATAGTTATATATGCTTTTGTCTGTCAAGAAAAGAGAGCGAAACTGACAATCTATTTCTTATTGCTAGAGGGGCACACTTTCTTATAACAGGAGTAATGTCTGGAAGGTTATGACCTATCTTTCTTCTATTAATAGAGCTAGAACAAAGGATAAGAGAAATTTTAATGGGGAAAGAAAATCTAATTTGGCCGGGACCAAGCTCAAAAACTGACAATTGTAACATTGTTTTGAATTGTCTTCCATTATAGTTAGATGACTAGATACAAATGCTGATCTCAATGGTTTTTATCCTAGCAATGAATTATCCTTAGAAAAACAAGTTACTTGTACTATACCGATACCCAGCTTGCTCTTTTAGATCTAGAGGTTTGGATGTCAATTTATGAAATGCAGGGTCATAGGAACTGCATAGATGCAACTTCAGGCCAATAGCTGATCTGTGCTTGTGGTGGCTATAGTTTGGTGCTTAAAGTATTGGATACTGATTTGTTTGGGGAGAGGGAATGTTAATTATTTCATTTATTATGTAAGGCATAATATACAGCCAGTCCCTGGGTTACGTACAAGATAGGGACTGTAGGTTTGTTCTTAGGTTGAATCTGTATGTAAGCCAGAACTGGTGTCCAGATTCAGCCTGTTGAAACTGACCAGCGGCTGACTCTCCAGCAGACCAGGGAGACGCGGAGCAAAGCCGCAGAGCACGCGGGTAGCGGGACAGCCCAGATGCGCCACGGCTGTTCCGCTGCTGGTCTCCAGCAGACCAGGGAGACGCGGAGCAAAGCCGCAGAGCACGCGGGTAGCGGGACAGCCCAGATGCGCCACGGCTGTTCCGCTGCTGGTCTCCAGCAGACCAGGGAGACGCGGAGCAAAGCCGCAGAGCACGCGGGTAGCGGGACAGCCCAGATGCGCCACGGCTGTTCCGCTGCTGGTCTCCAGCAGACCAGGGAGACGCGGAGCAAAGCCGCAGAGCACGCGGGTAGCGGGACAGCCCAGATGCGCCACGGCTGTTCCGCTGCTGGTCTCCAGCAGACCAGGGAGACGCGGAGCAAAGCCGCAGAGCACGCGGGTAGCGGGACAGCCCAGATGCGCCACGGCTGTTCCGCTGCTGGTCTCCAGCAGACCAGGGAGACGCGGAGCAAAGCCGCAGAGCACGCGGGTAGCGGGACAGCCCAGATGCGCCACGGCTGTTCCGCTGCTGGTCTCCAGCAGACCAGGGAGACGCGGAGCAAAGCCGCAGAGCACGCGGGTAGCGGGACAGCCCAGATGCGCCACGGCTGTTCCGCTGCTGGTCTCCAGCAGACCAGGGAGACGCGGAGCAAAGCCGCAGAGCACGCGGGTAGCGGGACAGCCCAGATGCGCCACGGCTGTTCCGCTGCTGGTCTCCAGCAGACCAGGGAGACGCGGAGCAAACCCCGTTCGTAACTGCGGATCCGACATATGTCGGATCCGCGTAACTCGGGGACTGCCTGTACTGGTGTTCTCATTGTGCAGTAAAATCTAGTTCTGGAGTCAATCTTCCAATTGAGCAAGGAGAATCTAAATTACTGTTGTGGACCATGCTCCATTGTATGAACTGAGGCATTTTTATAGTTCTATGTGAGAATAGCATCTGTTTAAAAACCATGCTCCTGTTTGAACATTTTTACGTGCTTTGTAACAAGTAGCATCTAAGACATCTATGATTGAAATAGGAAGGGGGTGGAAAAGTCTGTATTTCTCTCATAGTTTGCTTACTTTTGTGCACTTGTCAGTACTCCATGTAGTCGGTTTTGCTGTTTTTTGTGATCAGTTAGGCTCTGATTCTGCAAACACATATTTAAGTCACGTTACTTAAGTAAAGTTAACTTCAAGCAGTAATGTAGTCCCAATTATGTTTGTGTGAAAGAGTTTGCAGGATTTTTCTTCCCATTTTTGTGTGGGTTCTTATGCAGCAACAGCGAGAGGAAAACAGTGGTAAAAAAAATGAGAAAATATACTGTTGAAACCACAAGAATTGGCAGGGAGGCACAGGCAGTAACTGAAACTGCTTTTAGCATTAGTTTTAATTAACTAGACTGCAGATTTATGTCCTTTCAATTATGCAACCTTGTTGCAGTACATTTAAAAAGATACTTATATACTACACTGTTCTGTATAAGTGGTGCATGATGAGATAAAGGTAAGGATGAATATCAGAAAAGGGAAAACAGAAATTAAGAAAAAAATCATAGATCTCCCCCCCCCTTTTTTCCCCCTTAAGGGGCTTAAATTATTTTCCAATATATTTAATTTCCAAGATATCTTTCCAGAGACCTTGAAGATTTTGCCAACTCATCACTATGTTCAGAAAAACTCATTTTGAAAAGGAAGCCAGCCTCTTAATTTTGTCAGGTCTTCATCCATTTGCATATTGTGTTATCTAGCATACCCAAATCTCAAAACGCATAAACAAACATGCCCAGGATTATAAAACTACTACGGGTTGAATTTCTCTAGCCTGACATTTTCTGGTCTGGCAACATCCATGGTCCAGCATGATTTTAGTTAGCCAGATGCCCACTTATCATGGGTGCAGCCATGTTTCCTACAATCCCATAAAAGTTGTTTACAGCCACCCAGTCCTGGCTCTCAATGTTCTGTGCTGTTGCTTAGCTCTAATTTACCCCTAAATGTCTTCTAAGAGCCCAGTAAGCAGTGGAAATGTTGGTCATGCTGCTAGACAATACTGACCTCCTGTGGTTCAGCAAATTTGCTGGTTCAGCACCAGTCAAGTCCTGAGGGTGCTGGACTAGAAAGGCTCAACCTGTACCTCCTTCAGGAGTGATCCTGGACCTCTTAGGACACTTAAAACGATCCATTCCTCCCTTTTCTCCAGGATGAGATGCCACCATACGTAAAAGAATAAAACTTTGAAAAGGGAATGATTTAATTCCTAGAGCCCTAGTGAACAACCTGTAGCTCACGGCCCAATGGGATTCTTCGTGTGGCCCACAAGACATTTTGTTTACCATTTCCTATGCACAGGGTTGCCAGGTTTGGCTGGTTTTCATCCACATGGGTTTTTTTCATATCGATATTACAAGAGTGACAGACGCTTAAAGCAATGGGCGTGTGAAGTGAGGTTTGTGCCAAATGTGTGCAAGATTGAGATCCATGTGCTCCCACTGCATCCAATCAAAATGTTGCTATGGTTCAATAGGCACATACTGCAAATTCTAGGTATGCAAGTGCAGTTAGCAAAACTATCCTAACCTGGGAGACCATCTTAGTTACAGTGACCTTGTGGCCCACTGAGATGGAGGTTCACTCAAGTGTCCTACTCACCAGCGTGGGTTGCTCCTCACTGTCCTAGAGCAGGCATGTCAAACTTGAAGCCTACTGAGGGCCGTACAAATGAAAACTGACAGCTTTCAGGGCCACCAAAGAAAATGTATTTCTATCGGAAAGTCATCATTATTTATTATTATAGATTATGTTTTAAGTATTTTTTTATAATTTTAGGTCTTGTTTTAATATAATACAGTAATTTGATGTGTAAAAATTGTTGTTTGCCTATATAAAATAATTTTTAATTTTAATATAAATTTAAGGTACTTTTAAATTTTGTATATGATACATAACTTGTTTTGTTGAAATAAAAACAAGTATAGACCGCGGTTAATCAAATAGAACAGGCTTCTGTGAAAAATTCAGATACTTTGTAAGTTTGAGATTTTGCATAAACATATAATATTCATGCAATTGCAAAAAATTGACATATTTAGTGATATAAAATTAATATACAGGCAGTCCCCAGGTTACGTACAAGATAGGGACTGTAGGTTTGTTCTTAAGTTGAATCTGTATGTAAGTTGGAACTGGCATCCAGATTCAGCCGCTGCTGAAACTGATCAGTTTCAACAGCGACTGAATCTGGACACCAGTTCCGACTTACATACAGATTCAACTTAAGAACCCCAGGCGCCCCCAAGTCAGCTGCTGCTGAAACTGATCAGCAGCTGATTCTAGGAAGCCCGGGGCAGAGCCCGGGGTCCAGATCAGCGCTGCAGGTCCGGCCCGGGTCCTCCGCCGCTTTGCTCCCCGTCTCCCTGGTCTGCTGGCTCCCCCAGCAGACCAGGGGGGCG